CGGAACACTTTATGATTTATAGTGCTCGACATAAATGTTAACAGTCACTTTGCACAGCAACCTCACGCAGTCCCAATGGGCAGACACTTTCAGGCACACCTTAGCGATGAGGAGACAGGTTCTGGGGACTTGAGTGCCCCCTCTTCATCAGGTAAGGACCAGGACTTGACCCACTACCTAAAGCTAGCATTATCTGAGATGGCTAACCTTGTGAAGCCATACATAGTATTACTGTCCAATTGGCCTAGATATCTTAGTTATTGCAAAATATTTAGAGAAGAGGTAACATCTGGTAGTTTTAGGAGAAAATTAATTCCTCCTTGAAGGGAAGCTTTCCGGTCTGTGCACCTTGCCCTACAGAGTGTAGTTACGTTAACTCAGCCTGCTTTGATCAAGTTATTTAAGCACTCCAGAGAAAAATATATATATATTTGGAAAAGTGTGAGAATTGAAGAAAAATTCTATAACGAGTAAAATGAGCAAAAATGAGTTATATGTGTGATTTTTAGCTAGTGGAAAGGTTTCAGGAGTAAACTGTTGGATTAGGAGCTTGTTGGGTTTCACTCCATGGGCATGGGGGCGTGTCAGGCAGCTTGACACTGTCCCCTGGCCTGCCATAGGACATGGTTATGTTCTAATACTTGTGCTTTGTTATGCCAGTTTAGGTGAGCAGTTTAGAAAGTAATTAATTTAGTAATGGAAAGATGAAATTTTCTAATAAAAAGATTACTAAAAAAAGACTTGATTTGGAAATTTGACCCAAGACACTTAAAACTACCAAATGTTTTCAGCCATAAGCTTTGGCAAGAAATTAAACTTGTAAAACTGAAGTTAATTGAAGTTACTTATATTGAGAATGTTAACCACTAAGACATCAAGGGAGAAAAATTCTCAGTTATGGTAAGTGATTTATGTGCTTAACAAATAAGCAGAAAATTGTCTTTTATGCTTATTAAAAAATAAAACAATAAAGAAGATACAATTTAATAAACCTATGCAAACTTGACATGGTGGTATTGCCTAAAGTTCTTATGGGTAAAAGATATGCAATCACATTGCATATTGATATTCTGCCATTTTCAAGGTCAATGTTAAAAAGGTACTTGATGTAAAAAGTAATTATAGGGAAGTAGCTGCTGACCATGTCTCACATTCAAGTCTACAAACCGTATGATATGTGTTAGTGTCCTCAAAATAGATATAAATATGAAAGTCCTTTTTCTTCTTGACTTTACAATTTTGAGATAGAGAATTTAAATTATGAATATCTGCTTTTACATTTGAATTTTATTTCATAGTATTTACAGTTTTGAAAATGATTTTGCTTAATCATTATCATAAATTGTCCAAGTTTGGAGAAAGTAAGCCCATGAACTCAAGTTCTGCAGGCTTAATATTTTTCATTATTATTATTTATAAAGGCAAGATTGTTTTGCAATTATCCTCCTATTATAGATGGAGGATAAAGGATAATTATTGAAAATTGAGTGGACTTTAAGTCAGACATGCAGGCTAACATGGAATGGCTGTGTGATGTTGAAACAATAGTATATTCTTTCTTTTTTTACAAAATTGAGATAACAGTAATACAAGTTCTATGAACTTTCTGACGTACTCTCCTACTACATCACAGAGTTGATATGAGAACTGAGTGAAATATCAAATACAAAGCACCTAGCACAGTGCCGACTCATTTTGGCTGATTAATACATAGCTGCTTTCTCTGTTCATTTTGTTCTTCTCCAATTTGAGAGAACAATTTGGAATCCAGGGTCCTCTGAGACTTATACAAACTTAAGTTGGAGGTGTGTTTGAGGCCAGCCCACTCAGTAAAAGAATCCTTTCTGTGCCATTTGTAACAGGTAACCATGAACAAATTATTTATTTGGGGCTTTGAAAATACTAGATGTCATTATTCTGGGGTTGTTTTCCTTCTCAGTTAAATTTGTTTGGGGCTAATCTAGACATTAATTTCCATTCTCTTAGCACATTCCAGCCTATCAGGTAGCCCAGGAGGAACAGGGTGATGGATGAATCTCCTGAGATTAATCCACAAGGAAATATTTCTTACGTGTGACGATCTGGATTTGAGTCTGAGAGGAGTATGAGTACTGGGCCAAAATAAGCAGGGAATTTATTTTATTTTTGAAGGCCCCAGCATACTTCCTGCTGTTTATAAATCTTGGCTTTTGCACTCTAGAGTGTTTGGTTTTTGAGCACACTAAAAGAATAGTGTTTGCTGGCACTGTTTCTTCTTTCATTTATCTCAATGGAGAAATGGGAAGATTAATCCACTGGTTCCTGGAAGAATTTCTTTTCAGCTGCAGCCTTGTTTTTTTTTTTGTCTTTTGTCTTTTTTCCGTGTCCGGCAACGGATCGCAACCCTCAGTGTTGCCCCCGTACCGGACCGGGGACCGGCAACGGGAT